AATAAGTCGATTCCCCCCCTTCCCCCCCGGAAAGATGGACAAGCGCGTCAGGGTCTACTGACGGTTGAAGATGACCCAGTCGACTCGAGTTGGTATCCCGAGTCGACTGAGGAAGTCCCGAGGCTCATAGGTCCCCGACGATTCCGATACACTTCAACATACCTCGTCTCCGCCCCCTGTAGTACTCGACTTGTATAATAATCCGGTTGCTGGCTACCCCCTGCTTCTCGCAACAACACTGAACTTATCGAGAATACCCCTACCGAGATGTAGAGTATTAGCTCGTCTCCAGGTTCTGTTTTTGTTAACAGCGGCAACTCGCTTAGAAATTCCTTCAACTTTTCAAATGCCATTTGAGTGTCATCATTCCATTGAAAATTTTTCTTTTTGAGCAACTTGAAGAACGGGAAGCCTCTTTCTGCAGCACGGGCGATGAATCTACTCAAACCAGCAATTTGACCTGTCAAGACTTGTACTTCTATGATATTTCTTGGTGGTTCCATGTCGATTATGGCTTTCACCTTGTCTTTGTTCACCTCAATCCCTCTTTCAGTTACAACATAGCCAAGGAATCGCCCTGCCCTTACTCCGAAGGCGCATTTACCAGGATTCAGCTTCATCCTTAATGTTCTTAGTGTCTTGAATGTTTCTTTTAGATCCTCGACATGCGAAGTCGAGGACCTACTCTTCACGAGAATGTCGTCCACATACACTTCCATATTGCGTCTGATCTGCAACTTGAACATCCGATCCATCAGTCTTTGGTAAGTCGCCCCCGCGTTCTTGAGTCCGAAGGACATAACAACGTAATAATATGTCCCCTTGCTTGTCACGAAACTCACTTTGCTCTGATCTTCTGGGGCCAATGGGATTTGATGATATCCCTGAGATGCATCCATCATACTCAATAGCTCGCAGTCGGCCGTAGAATCGACTAGCTGATCAATTCTTTGCAGCGGATAATGATCCTTTGGACATGCTAGATTCAAGTCGCGAAAGTCGATGCACATGCGCCATTTGTTCAGCGCTTTTCTCACCATTACAGTGTTTGATATCCATTCGGGAAATTGGATTTCTTTGATATGCCTGGCCTTTAGTAATTTATCTACTTCAACCTCGATTGCTTTGTCGATTTCGGTCCCATGATGCCTGAGTCGCTGCTTTACGGGCTTTTTAAGGGGATCGACATTGAGTTTATGCTCCATGACGTCTGGGTCGATTCCCGTCAATTCGTTAGGGGAGAAGGCAAATATGTCCCTGAATTCCTTTAGCAGCTCCACCAGTTGTCTGCGCAACTCGTCCTCCAATTCTCTCCCGATTTTGGTGGTTTGGTCTGTTGGGTTCATTATACCGTACGGAACAGAGAATGCAACGGAATTTAAATTTTTTATAAGTATTTATCTTATAAATACTTATTCCGTACATAAA